CACTTTATTGATATATATATCTTAAATAAAAAAAAAATAGAAAAGCTTTAAGATAGCAATTCTCTTGTTTATTATATAAATTTATAAAAAAAATGAAATAGAGTAAAAACAAGATAGTATTTTTATAATTCAAAAAGAAAATAAAGACAAGCATTTTTTCTTAAAATCTATATATTAGTTATTGTGAATTTGTCCTAGAAGTCTCTATGAATATTAGTTAACTAAAACTCTTTATGAATAGAGAGCAAGATAACACTCCAGAACCTGGCCTATGATTTAAAAAACTCCTATGATCCAAAAATACTGTGATTTAGTTGAAACTAAAAATCATGAGCAAACAATTGATTATTGAACTAATACCCACAGAAAGGGAGCAAAACAGCTTAGCAGGTTGCACAATCTCTAAAGGAGTTAATTAGAATATCTTCTTTCAGATTATGACCTGTCAATCACAAAACAAATGATATGTTAATAAGTTGAAGAAGGCCTTTTTCACTCCTCAAATTAAAAGTTCATCAACTTACTTACCAATAAAGACTATCTTATTTATGCGCTTCTCTTCCTTTTCCCACATCCTAGCTGGAACAATTTCATAGAGTTCTCTCACTGCCTGCAAGATTTTCATTAATAAATTATTTCACAATAATACATCATAACTAAATAAACAAACAAATAGAAGAACAAATTAGACAAAGTAACTCCATTACCATGCCAAATTCTGCATAACCATCTCATAATTAAAATATCAGATACAAGTCTATAATGATATTAAATAAATTAACTATCAAATCTTCAAAGGCAGTTATGGACAATACAAACCCTCTTAATCAGGTTAGGATCTGGTGTTTCAGAATCTAGACAATTGCAAAATATAAATAAAATTCAACTTATTTTCTCTCACAGATTTTTTTTTTTTCTTTCAAATTCAAATATGTAAATCCAGGAGTTAGCAATTTAGTTTTGGATGTGAAACTTTCCTTAATACTATGACAAATTAAAATCAACCTGCATTAGTAGTTGGTACCAGTCTACCAGACCAGAACAATAAGTGAGTTAACTTTTGCAGAATCTACAAATAAGGGATTGAGGTAGATGGCATCCTAGATTGGTAGTTGGTGATGTGTCAAAGTTTACTTGTCAGTTTAAAACATGGAAGTGGTGTTTTATATACTAAATATTGTATCAAAAAGTAATAGTGAATGAAATGGTACACTTAGTTATAAAATATAAACAAAATTTTAAATGCCCAAATCTTACACATTGTAGCAGCACAAGAAAACCAGTGGAAAAATCTTAATGGTGTCAAGTATAATTTACCTGCAATGTATGCAGTTGATCAGAATTTTGAACACTTAACACTCCTTTGCAACGGTATACATCCATATCATATTTCTTCTCCCAGAGAATTTCCTCGAGCCATATTCGAGTCTGTCATGGTTATAATTTGTAAACAATATATAAATATATGAATACAAGACACATAAAGGTGTATCCAAAACACTGACTTGAGAAAAGGTGAATTAACAAAAGACAATTTTCACTGTTGCAATACAGAAACGAACAATGGACTGAGATTAAGTGGAGGAAAACTGAGAACTCCGGCTGCATATTTATGCCTGGAAGCCTTTGATGGAGCTAGTGGACATATAAAGAGGGAAACACTGTCTTGTTCAGTTTTCCACTTTGAAGAAATAATCGCTTAACTTTGCTAGCTTTATGAGAGAACTTCAAAAAATAGCAGTTTTCTAAATTTATGCTATCACAAACAAGCACATAATGCAACTGCTAGTTGTAGAATAAACTACGATGATACTCAACTCAAAGCTATAGAAAAAAGGAAAACTATATGTGTGAGGATGTATCTAATGAAAAAGTTATTTTGACTAGTGAGAGAAACAAATCTTGACCAAACAACTACAAATGGATGATTGAGATTAATAGTTTCACATGATCATCCCAAAAAATACATGATTTTTACAATTTAAACTTAATCACTCATAATAAAGATTTAATGGCCAATACTTGTTCCTGTTGCTCTCACACACACAAAAATAAATATCATTGATGTGTCTCATACATGTATGTATGTATATATACCTTATCAATATCAATCGTCTGTGTCTCACAAATGCATATGGTTCTCACGCCACTATCATGAACCTTTTTGGTAGACAAAGAACGACTTTCTTCTAACAATGTCTCTAAATGTGTGGCACGCTGAAAAGAGAGACAACAAAGGTAAGTAGTTGTCACATGGAAGTGGGAAGAAAAACTATGCTTTAAGAGCAAAAATATGTATGATTTACTGCAGTATCATAAGCTTGGCGGTTCAATATCTTAGACAAGTCAATTTCACATCGGACAGAATGAATTATCTCTGCAAGAGAGTTTATGTTATGTATTTCCTCCTCAAGTTCCTTCAGGGCTCCAGAGCTCTCTGCAGATACCAAATCAACCTTGTTAAGAATTATAATGTCCTGAAACAAACAGAAAAAATTATTAGCTCTTCAGCATCCAATTCCACTAACTGCTTGTACTAGTTGTGCTACGCTAATACCTGACAAAATTATCAATATAAATAAGGGTATAAGCTCAGTGTTATACATAACAATTACTAAGAGTCTCAGTGGTGCAATATATTTTTACTGTTCCCTCTATTTTTATCCCTTTTTCGTCAGTCTTTGAAATTCTGGCAGAAACATGTTATCAATAACAACTGATAATCCAATATCCAGTTAATGTAATAAACAATTACCGCAAATGCTATCTGAAAATATGCTTCTGGAAATGAAGATGAGCCACGATGCTCATCAAGCTGGAAGCGCAGATTTTTAGCATCCACCACCTACTTGAGCAGAAACTCAATCAGAAAAGTGGCCATGATTCACAAGCTATGCTCTTATATACCAAGGAAAGAAACAACATCTATATCATCATATAAGTAGAAGAGCCACAAAAGTTTCACCCAAAAAATATACTCACTGTGACGATAGAATCAAGCTTCACTTCTGATTCCAACTGTTCATCTAACCAAAGAACAGATGCCAAAGGAGCTGGATTTGCCAGTCCAGTGGTTTCCAGCAATATATGGTCAAGCCTAAAGACACACAACACATAAAAAGCTATTTAATTGTGCTAAAATATGTCGCATTTCATGATAATTGTGCCAAAAATGTGCCTAAAGACACACTTTATTGACACGACATCAATTCATGATAAAATGAAAGTTGGGCTAGATGAAAGTGAACTGCAACATTAAGTGTCACAAGTATGTTGCTTCAACTTTCCATGCCTCAAATTGACCACAAAATTTAAAGTGTTTTCTTGTTTTTACCTTTCCTTTCTCTGAACAAGCTGCTCAAGTGCTTGAACCAAACTATGCTTGACTGTGCAACATATACACCCATTGGCAAGCTCAACCCATTCTTCAACCAGTGCACCTTTATCCCCTTCATTGATCATCGCTCTTTCCACGCCAATTTCCTCACCAAACTCATTCAATATGACTGCAATCCTCTTCCCATGTTGCGAATTCAAAATATGATTCACCAGCTGAAAGCCAATGCCTCAGTTACAACTTACAAGATCACAATTCCACACCGCAAATCACTAAAACACCACCACCATTACAAAAAACTAGTTCAAACAAGCAGCAGCAACAACAACAACAACGCTACCAAAGTGAAAAAGCACACAACTTTAAACTACCCAATTGGCCAAAAATAAGAAAAATGGAAAATTTAGAGAGAATCATGAGCAGAAAAATGATGGACTGTTTGACACGATGGCATAGAAATGAAAAAGGGTTTAAAAAGCTTACAGTGGACTTGCCCGCACCAAGATAACCGGTTATGAGAGTGACCCCAACAGAAGATTGGTGAGAAATGGATTCATCATTCCCTTGAATCTGAACAGCAAGAGGTGGCTCTCCATCTTCGTCGTGCTCCATCTTCAACAGTTTGTGCTGTAAATGAAATTGTAAGAATATTTGGGTTTCAGAGAAATTCGGAATTTATATTCCTCATCAATTATCATATTTGAGTGACTATTTAAAAAGGGTTGAATATGTTTTTACAATCTTTAAAATATTTATATCACAAATTTTAGTTGTTAGAATCCATAAAACTTCTTTAAGTTTTTACATTTATTATTAGTGTTGCGGTAGTTTTAATATCTTGGTATGGATTTATAATAAGTAAATTATTTTTTTATAAAAAAAATCATTTTAAATATAAAATATTATAATTAAAATCTATAATAACTAATTATTTTTAATATATAATTTATATTTTAAATTTATAAAAAATAATTTATATTGTGATCAAATATTGTTAAAAAATAATATTTTTTTAAAAATATATATTAAAAATGTCATTCTCATGATATACGCTCTCATGTATTATAATATACACATATGTGTACATTCACATCCTCCCACACATGGAATCAAATTACTCTTTAGTGTTTTTGGAAAAATTATATCATTTAATAACTTATATTATATATTAAATTTCAACTGACTCACTATGAGTTAGGATTTGTTGACATCATGTTATCAAATTAATAAAATGTCATATTTAATATTTTTTATAAAATATAAATTTAATTAATATAACTAATATATTTAATGATATTAACTTATGATTATGCATATTAAATTTTAATTGATTTGGTGTTTTCTAGACATGTTATTTAACATAAAATTTTGCATGTATTTTGAATATCATTTTATACATTAAATAAAATAATATGATGAACTACTAAATAGTTTTAGAATTGTATGCAATTTTATGTACTTGATCTGATAATAGATAATTTGAAACCATGAGCCAATTGTTTTTATATATATAAAGAGAAAGATGAAGAGAATAGAGGATGAATTAAGTAGTATTTTAGACTTTAGCAATAACAATACTACTATGGAGAGATGCAAAATATAGATAAACATGCCTCCAAAGTTATAGACAAAAATAAGTTTATACCAAATTTTGTACTCCTGTTATGACAGGTGTGATACTCAACATAGTAGAGACACATTTTATATTGGGTGTTCATGATTAACATAGAATATTTATTTTAACCAACATTAAAACTTAAAAATCTTAATATGATTTTTAAAATAATAATTATAAAAATTACTAAACTTATTATATACATAATAAATTGTTATTGAATTAGTATATTTTGATTAAAATTTTAATCATATAATTTTTTTTAAAATATCATTTATGATTTACCCAATGCACCGGTTTTATACTGAATTTATATATAATTTTTTCTTGGATCAATTTCATATGGGACAAAATACTAACTTTGGAAGTACAAGAGCCTTTATAGTAACCCCACCCCAAGTATAATATATTTAGGGTTTATAAAGTTTAGTAACCATCCATAAAGTTTTTGAATTTAGCTTCGATTTTTGTCATGACAATTTTTGTGGTTTTTTTTTAGAAATTGTAATATTATTATAAAGTATTTATTGTTGACTAATTTTCACTTAGAACCATGAGACTATATTTTCTTTTAACATAATTTATTTTATATTTATAGTTAAAATTAAAATTCCTAAACAATTTGTTTAAGAAATACAATCGATAGCACTGCTAACCAATGTTGGTTGTCATGACACCTTAAGACAACTATGACATAATTACTCATTCCTTAAAAAAATTACGAAAAAATTACTAAGAAAATTAACCTATTAGATTAATTATATGCTTTGTCATTAAAAATGAACTGATTGACATTGTTGGTATCAAATTTAAATTCTGAATATACAGTTGTATCGGAAGATAAGCTTTACTTCTCATAATGGTCTTAACGATTCGAACAAAATTTTCTCTCATATAAGATATATGTGGTAATAGATAAATAAAAATAATAATAATAAATCCGTGGTTGTGAATATATATATATATATATATATATATATATATAT